TCAGTGAACTGACTTAAAAATCATAGAATCACAAAACATCCGGAGCTGGAAGGGACCCACAAGGATCATCGAGTCCAACTCCTGGCTCTGCCCAGGACACCCCAGCAGTCCCACCACAGGCCTGAGAGCATTGTCCAAACTCTCCTTGAGCTCTGTGATGTTTAAATACCTAAAGTAGTGATATTTAAAGAACTTGGAGCCCAAAGACTCAAGAACCAGCTCTTCTCTTTGTGGTGCAGTGCAGTGACTGCACAGATCTGCTCAGGAGGTGGCAGTGCTTTAGAGAAGGTTCCTGACCTTCCTAGAGAAGGTTCCTAACCTTGCTTCCCAGGGCACAAGTGAAACACATCCTCAAGTCATATGGCAGAGCTTTTTTTCTTTTTTTATTTTTTTATTTTCCCAATAGGCCTATTTTGGGAAAATGGGCTAAAGAGTCCTAGATTAGCTTTAGTATTTTGGACACCAGTCCTACTTTTGTGCGTGCACCCAGATGAATTTATCTTTGAGTTTGGATACAAATGCAGTACCTGGAGCTTTAAAAGCACTGGGTAAATAACAGCCTGTCTGAACAGCTCCCAGGAATAAAGGACTTGGAGCTGGCAAAGGAAGGCTGCTGTCTGGAATCTGGAGCCAGACACATTCAGAGTAGAAATCAAGTACAAATTTGTAATGGAGAGGGTGATTAATCACCAGGATGAACTAGAGCTGGATGGATGGATCATTGGTCCCTTGCTGATTTTGAGGCAGGATGTCCTCTGGACAGAAGTTAAGCCAGGTGACTGTTTTACTTCAGTGTAAGAGAAGCCCATGGAATCCAGAATCATTTAGATTGGAAGAGACCTCCAAGATCATCCAACTGGAATGAATCCAACCTGTGAGTGATCCCCACCAGAGCACTGAGTGCCACATCCAGTCATTCCTTGGACACCTTCAGGGTTGGGGACACCACCACCTCCCTGGGCAGCCCCTTCCAGTGCCTGACCACCCTTTCCATGAAGGAATTCCTCCTGATGTCCAGCCTAAACCTCCCCTGGCACATGTTTATAGACACACATGTACACACACGTGAACACCCCTGCACAGAGCCCACCCAGAGGACCTGGCAGTTCCTACAGACCTTGAGCTGCACGTGCAGTAGAAGACTTGAACTTTGAATTTATTTTTTTTTTGCTGTTTCTGGGAGAGGATTGGTTTGTAATTCTACGTGAGTCGGGAGTCTGACCTTTACTTCGAGTTCAGCAGTGGTAGAACTTCATTCTTTGGGCTTTATTTCTTGGCCATCCAACACAGCAGGTTTGTCAGCAAGGCTGGAACTTGGGGGTTCTGCATTTCTGGTATGACAATTGTAGTGGTGGGCCCATGTCCTCAGGCAGATTCCGTGTTCAGCCACTGATCCTGCCCTGTGTGGCTTTATGCCAAGAATTCAGCCCCTCTCTTCATGTTTTCCTTATGTCAAAATGATGATGTTTGTCTTCCCCAAGGACAAAAGCTTAAGAACTTACCAAGGAAGGTATTAGTGAAATACAAAGTGATGGCTTTTTTTTCTTTCTTTTTTTTTTTTTTTTTTTACTAGGTGAGTCACTCCGAAATTAAAAGAGAAAATGAATTTCTCTTCCAAATAAGTGATATCAGCCTCATCTTTACCAAGTGACTTTCTCCTTGCTTCTACAGGGCGTTGTGGATCAGGGTGAACTCTACTTCAAAACATTTAATTGCACACAGTGAGAAATGAAGAAAACTGAAGTGGATCCCAAGAATGTATTAAAAAAATCAGAACTAAAATGAGAATGATTTCATGTCAAGTGAGACAAATGCAGAGTTGATACTCCAGTGCTTCACACTTCCACTTGTCCTTGGCACTGAGAAAATGAGATTTTTAATATCTGAAAAACAGATTGCCATGAGGACTCATCCATTGTCAATTTAAGCTGCCTTTATAGCAAACTTAAGCTGGGGACAAGATTGTTCATTACATCTGATTCTACAACTGCAGCCACGATTTCCATATTAATAGTGACTTTTTTTTTTTTATTATTATTGTCTGTACCAGCCCTGGGAAAGGGGAGCTGGTTGTGTTTTCCCTGCGTTAGCAGATCGTTTATTTAATGAATAATGCCAAGAGGGCAAAGGTTTGTGAGCTCTTACCTGCCTATCACTACAGACAGTGGTGACACCTGCCTTTGCTGCTGTCTCAGGGCGGGTTTGGTGCTTTGGTTTGTGCTAAAAGGGAAAGAGGGATGTTGAGTCGTGGTTTCAGGGTCATAATTTGTTGGCAACTGAAGTGATGTTGGTTGGGATGGAATTTTTTTGACTAAAATTACAGGTGAGGGGTTGGTTGTTTCCTATCTGAGGTGCCCCTAAATGACAAAAACATTTCAGCTTCAGACTTGACGCGTATCTGGGGGTGGGGAAGGTGTTTCTGTGCCCCTGAACTTTGGACCAGTGTGGAGTCAAAGACTGTTTGTGCCCCTTTTCAGCAGCAGCCACTCTGTGCTGGCAGCAGCCTTAGGAAGCAGCAGCTTCCTCCCCTTTCTCTGGAACTCCATTTGCTGTCAGACCTGAGGATTCCCTGTCCTTCCTTGGTGCTTGGCTCAGTCTGGGACAGTTTGGGGTTGCATTCTGAGTGCAATAAAAACCAACTCAGCCTTTAACATAGCAAAACCAGAGATCTTTTTCCTATTTTCCCATGAACTCCCTGCTGAAATCCCACCATCCTCTGTCTGCACTCACAGATCTGGAGTTTCATGGAAAAGCTCCTCTTCCTCCACTGTTCACATCCCAAATTTGGTCTAGATCCTAATGGCTCTTCACTTACATTTGAGGTCCATACCATTTTTTTTCCTCTTCCATTACTATTACTAATATCACCCTCCTGCCTGTGTCATCTCAAAAACTGAGTTACTGTAGCCTTTTCTTTGCCTCTGTTATCTCATCTCCTCATGTTCCAGTTTTAATCCTGTGTTTCATGATGATGGAAAGTGATCTTTCCTTTCTGGGTTTCCTTCTTTGCTTCTTCCACACTCCTCACCCTGGAAGCAAACCCTTCTGTGACGAATCCAGTTCTCTATCATTAGCCTCTCTGACCTTCAGAAAGTTTGTATATATTTAAGTCTAATTTGTTCCTCTTTGGAAAACAAACCAGCTCTCTGTATTAAAATTTGGCAAGAAGTCAACAGCATGATCTCATATTTTTTTTGTGACCGCCTCGGGGAACATGTTTAAAATGCAGTTAAGAGATATAACAGGGGAGGGGTTTGGTGTAGAAGTCTTTCTAAAAGGTTTGGGGTGGGTGACTGTGAGGGACCTGGGGGTTTGTCCCTCCCATCCATCAGTGGTTTGGTGCCACCATTTCACTCCAGGCCACAAGGACATCACCTGTCACGGTCTGCCAGGACCGCTCTTCGTGTCTGTGACCTCTCTCTGGGTGACCTCCTTTGCTGGAGAGGAAGAGGCAGCTCCATGTGGGCCAAATGACTTGTTTTGGAAGTGGCAGCAGCCAGCTCTGAGCAGCTCCCCTCCCTGGGAACACCCAGCTTTCCTTGGCCGCGTCTGGGTGGGAGAAGGCACGTGTGGCCAGGCTGGAACCTCCCAGGAAAGCTGGTGGCCAAAGCCGAGTGCTGCTGCCCCTGGGAATGCTCAGCCAGCCCAGCCTTCTGTCCTGAGAGTTCAGGAGTTTTTTCATGAGGGGAAAAGAAAGGAAAACCAATAAAACACAGGAACGATGGTGTCACCATCCTTGGAGGGGTTTAAAAGCCGTGTGGATGTGGCACTTGGGGACGTGGGTTAGTGGTGGCCTTGGCAGTGCTGGGGAGAGGATTGGACCTGATCTCAAGGGAGGTGATTCTCCTCCTCTGCTCTGCTTTTTTGAGACCCCACTTGCAGAGCTGCCTCCAGCTCTGGGGCCCTCAGCACAGGAAGGGCATGGAGCTGCTGGAGCGGGTCCAGAGGAGGTCACCGGTGCTCCAAGGGCTGGAGCCCCTCTGCTCTGGAGACACGCTGGGAGAACTGGGGGGTTCACCTGGAGAAGGATCCAGAGAGACCTCAGAGCCCCTTCCAGTGCCTAAAGGGGCTCCAGGAGAGCTGGAGAGGGACCTGGGACAAGGGATGGAGGGACAGGACACAGGGAATGGCTTCCCACTGCCAAAGGGCAGGGAGAGATGGGATATTGGGAAGAAATTGTTGGCTGGGAGGGTGGTGAGGCCCTGACACAGGTTGCCCAGAGAAGCTGTGGCTGCCCCATCCCTGGAAGTGTCCAAGGCCAGGTTGGACGGGGCTTGGAGCAACCTGAGCTAGTGGAAGGTGTCCCTGCCCCTGGCAGAGGGTTGGAACAGAATGATCTTTAAGGATCCTTCCAACCCAAACCATTCTGAGATTCCATGATCTTAGGGGGCTTTTCCAACCTGGACATCTCTTTATGGAGCAGAGGAAATCATCCCATTGCAAATCCATGTGCTGCTCTTTCCACTTGTTTTCTCTCCTACCTCACCCATAGCCTGAAGTGTAAATATTGTCCCTAGTTCTTTCTACATATCCCTGGATAGAACATCCTGCCTTTTCTCTTTCCCTTTGGTTAATAGTTTGACTTTTGGAGCACTTTCAGTCCATGTTAGTTTGTGGAGAAAAAGATGAGCAGTAATAGCTAAAGAAAACTCTATTAGGTCATTCCTCCTCAGAACACAGTACCTGTCTCTGAGCTCTCTGAGGATGTTGGCCAAATAATCCTTTTAATAGCTTTTGTGAGTTAAAAGGGTAGGTAACTGTCATAAGGCTAAATGATTGCATAGATTAATTTACTTGTGGCCGAAAGAAATCAATTGTAATTTAAATTTTTGTCTCTGGACTGATGACACCACCAGACTTTCTCCTGAGGAATGTACCACATGCACTGAAGTCCGTGAGCCTCTGTGGGTCTGCATTAGTGACAGGTTATCCAGAATAATGGGGTTGAGTCTCTTTGCCTTTCACAGACATCTCTAATTTGTCTTTTCCTTGTGTTTTACAGAATGGTGAATAACACTGAAGACCCTCAAGAGGCTTTATAACGTCCCATCCCCATGTAAAGTATGCTCAGAACTTTTCCAGTAGTGTAAGTACAAGCTGAAGAAGCCCAGAACAATTAAGATCATTTGATGGTATTTTTTTCTGTTAATTTGTCTAAAAAGAGCAGAGAAATGGTTACAATGATTATGAGCAGTTGGCTGGAGAGTTCCACTCCTTTGGTGGAACATTTAAACCAGGGAATAGTAAAATAACCAGACATTTAAATCAGGGAATAGTAACTTTTAATTGCTCACTTGGTCTGGCTGATGTATTGTTTCTATTTCTACTTTTCTGTCTCTGAAAGAGAAAGAAAACCATGCAGTTCTTTGAAACTTGGCCTTGATCAGAGAAAAATTAGTGTTAAAAGAGAGATCTTCATACATCTACTGAACATACTGGAGAGATACTAAAGGGATACCTGAGCTGGGCAAGAGTTTAGCACCACTCCAGACTTGGCAAAAGGGATGAGAACACCATCATAATTCAGTGTTATATGGCAAAGGCAGAAAACCTGGGGCACCTCACCTTGCCTTAGAATTGGATGGGCTATTCCAAGCAGTGTCTTGAATCCCAGGTGGAATTGAAGTTGTCCAAATCTCATCCTTGAAGCCTGTCATTTTTTTTTTCTTTTTTTTTAAATGGCTTCTGTCATAAATCTTCAATGTAATTGGTCTGCATGCTGTTTCTTCAGTAAGTAAGCAGATGGATTCAATTGTTGAAGCTGGAAGGCTGAAAGGAAAGGCTTGACCTGTCCCTGTGCTGTCCCTCAGCTCCCACTGGCCAGTCCTGGTTGGCTGTTCCCAATATCCCTCTTGTTGGCACGACCAAATGCTTGTCCCCAGCAATCAGATTCCTGAGATACTTTGACCTCTTGACTTTGGATTGTTCCTTCTGTCAGACTGAGCTGGGAAGAGAAGCCAGGTCTGCAGAATAGGTGGGAAGGAACTGGGCTGCTGTGAATGCAGCCACGTTTTCCCAGATGGATTATTTCAAGGATGAAGATTTATCCTTGTCATAGTGCAAGTGGCAGTGCAGTCACAGGCTTCTGTAGAGGGAGCCACAGCAAAAATAAGGCTGCCAGGGATTTTTTGTTGGAAACCAAACTCCAATGAATTTCAAAAAGACTTCTTGATACAACCCTTAATTAGTTATTTTCTGTTGCTGGTGGCTTTAGTCTTCTCTTCAAAACTAGTGGTTTCCTGCTTTGTTGCCAGTCCCTTGAGCTGGAAATGTGTTGGATTTCAGTAATAAAATCACCACTTGAAATTGTAAAGATCTAGTTCACAGCAGGAGAGGAGTCAGGAGGTAAGGCCACGTTGCCCTGTGCATCTTCATTGTTCTGGTAATCCAGAGTTTGCAGAGGGATCTCAGATCACTTTGTGTGAGCACAGGGACAGTCTGACAGCTTTGGCTTTATGTCAGGCTTTCACCACAAATTTCCAAAGTGGGAATTGCATGGTGTGAGTTTGCTGTGCTTTGATTTCAGTCCCTTTCTGCCCTGTTCATCAGCTGCCACCTCCCAGCAGAGCAGCAGCAGCAGCAGCTTTTATTTATTCCAGTGTATGTGCAGTTAATAGGATGCAGTGGAAGTAGAGGTGAACAATTTTTGACTGAGGGGAAAACAGGATGAACCTATTTGGAGGGGATTAGAGAGTATTAAATTAGAGCAAATGGGCCAAGATGACCCATTAAGGTATAAAATTTCCAGATTAGACCATAGATATTTTTTAAAAAAGGGTAAGTGGGATCGAGAAGGGGAAAGAAGAAAATGGAGCCTTAAAAAAAATTTAAATTTTGAACTTAAATTCTGAATAAGGTAAAGATTGAACAGTTAAAACTACTGGTAAGGGAGGTGAGGGAGGAGTTGGGTTATGCCTACACACAGAACAGCCAAGTAGGAACCTGGCTGCAGTTACCATTTCTCCTGCTTAATTTTTGTCCTCATCTGGATGGGAGTCAGTAGTTGAGAGGAGTTTGGGGCATGATGTCAGCACAGAACTCTTGATTTTGGTCTCACAAGAATTTGTCATTTATCTGAAACTAAGCCCTGGAGCCAACACAAGTTTATCTCTCTTGGGTTCTCCATAAATATAATGGGAGTAATTATTTGTGCTTCATGGGCTCATGGCAGTACTGATTAATTAATATGTGTTAGGAGTGAGCTATGACCATCAGGATGTTTTGCATCCCTCAAAATATGAATTCTGAGGGAACCAGGCAGTTGCAACGTCGTCACCTGAAGTTTACCTGAATTATCAGGCTGGTGCTTGTGAATCTTAATTGCCAGCAATGACAGGGCTGTCTGGGGAGTGAATAAAAGCCTTCAGAGTGGGAAGAGAATCAGGGTGAGTAATGCAGATGGAAAAGGACTGGGTTGAAGCCTTGTCATCATTTAGGGAAAACAACAGAAGGAGAAAAACCGAGGCTGTGGATGCTCCCAAGTCAGCACACGCTGAAGGGCAGGCACTGGAGTTACAGTGGCTTAGAAAATAAAATCACAGGTTGAGCTGTAACTGTCCAGGGCCCTTGAAATGTGGCACAAACCATGTTAATTAAAATTGGGAGAAAGAGGACTCAGCTCATTTTCTCTTTTTGTCTTGCTTGAAAAGGTATCCTGTAAATAGTTGGTGGCTGTAGGAATATTCAATTGGCTTTTTAAGCTTCCTTGGCTGAAACAATGCCCTGCCTGAGCCTGTGGTTTTACTTTAGGATAAACCAGATGAGTTAATTCATGATTTCACAGCCACTCTGAAAGGGTCCTTAAATAAAAAATAAAAAAATCTTATTGAATGGAAAAATTTCTTCCCCAAAATTTCTTCCAGTGATGGATTCCCCTCCCTGGAGGGATTTAAAAACCCTGTGGATGTGGTGACTGGGGAGGTGGGTTAGTGGTGGCCATGGCAGTGTAGGATGTAGATGGGTCTTCTCTGTATATGCAAGAGGAAATTTCCCTAGTTCAGGTCTGGACTACACAAAAAATTGTTGCTTTAGGAGCATTAATTAGGACATTTGTTTCTTTCTGAAATGCTTTTAACTAAAATAAAACTCTAATATGGAAGCAGCTGTGGCCAAAAGCCCATGTTTTTGCCATTATGATTTATATTCTTCAAGGAGACACCATTATCTATTCCTGAGTTGTTCTCCAAGTGGAGTCTCTGTCCTCATTAAGGCTGTGCCAGTGAAACTACACTTGCAAACTGTTTTTCTAATGGAAAATTATTTGCTTTGTAGTTAAGCACAGTGATGGCCTTGCTTGAAACTTGTCCTACACCTTGTCGTGTCTGGTGCTGTAGATGGACCCTGTAGGATGGCTTTGAAAAAACACTCAGAGTTTGGCCAGGCACTGGCTCTGCCTTCTTGCAGAATTCCTGTGTAACTTTGAACAAGTCATTTGGACTTGTCTGAAGTCCAGCCCCTCTCTGGGAGCTCTTGGTTGCAAAAATTAGTGTAGTTTTACTTCTCTGCCTCACAGGGATCTTCTGCAGAAAGATGTGTTTCAAGTATTTAGATACTCCAGCTGGCAGAGTTAATGGAGAAGAGTTTGGAGATGCTGTCTGGATTTTAATAAAGGATTGGTCAAGTTTTGAAGTGAAATGGAGGAGGCAGAACACAGCACTAGGCCTGTGATCTTGACAGCTGAAAATATGTGACTTATCAAACAGTCCTGGAATGGTTTGGGTGGGAAGGGACCTTCAAGCTCATCTCATTCCATCCCCTGCCATGGGCAGGGGCACCTTGCACTAGACCAGGTTGCTCCAAAACTCATCCAGCCTGGCCTGGAACACTTCCAGGAGTGGGGCCAGTCTGGTGTTTAGGTCAGGCCCACATTTCAGTTTTATTGTCCTTGACTCTTTGTGTTTTTTCACATGGGTTAAAGGCAGTATTTCAGTGTGTTGATGAGATTTGCTGTAATTCAAGCACACAAGTCCTGCCCTGATTCTGTTACAGAACTGATATATCCAAAGTTTAGTCTTTGGCTCCCGAATCCAAGAGCTCCTCCTTGCTCTTGGCACAGGTTTGGGCTTTGGGCCCTGGTTCAGCACTCAGCTGCCACCACAGCTTTTCTCTCTGTTTGTTAGTCCTTCTGATCCCTCAATCTGCCCTTGAATCCAGCCTCAGAGTTTGAATTCCTGCCTTGTTGCTGTAGAATTGCAACAATAGCAGGAAACCCAGATTTTGGAAGTGGGGAAGGTTAGGGTTAGACAGATAAGGTGTCAGTGTGAATCAGTCTGTGCCTCGAGTAGAATTCAGAAGTGTCTGGCTGCAAGCCCTGTGCTTAGTCAGAGGTCAGTCCCTTTTGTAAGACTTGGATTATGATGATAATTGGCATTTATATTGTATTTTTGCCTTGTAAGATCAATCTCAAGTTCTCTCTCTCTTTCCCAAAGATGTGGAGCAGAGTGAGTTCCTCACCCGAGCGGAATCAGTGGCAAAACCGCTGGGGTTTGCTCACTGTCAGTAAAAAAACCTTATCAGCAGAGAATTTCAGAGACTGGGGTGGGGAAGACCAGCTTGTGTAGGAGTGATGACTGTGGGTTTGGGGCTCTTTAACTAACTGGCTGAGGATCTCAGAGCCTCCTGAAGGAATGATATGTTGATATTCCGCTCTCAGCTCTGCCTCCCCTAATTTGTGGAGCGGGGAGTGTTTGATTACGCCGGATTTATTTTCAGGAGTTTCAGGCTGCTCTTATTAATTGTCCCCGTTCTGCTGGAAGGCGAGTGGCAGAGCTCTGCATTCCCGAGCCGCTAGTTTGCATTCCTAAACAGACCCTGTGACGCTGAACCTCCACGGCTCAGCTCGGAGCCTGATTTCCCTCCTCGCTGCAGCGCCAGGCTTTCATTTCCCTGGGATGAGAGCAGTCATTACAGGGATTACATTTTGTTTGTGAATCAGGGTGGATGGGAGTAGAGCCCTTTTGGAAAATCAGAGCCCAGAGATGCCACTGCAGGAGATGATTATGGGATCGTATGGATAAGTCTGTGTGTTCATTGACATGATGAGCACTTCAGGCCTGACGTTTTTTCCTCTCTTGAAAGCTGGTGCAG